GTACACAGTGTAAAACCCATTTCTGGTGTCCCCGCCGTAACATTGCTGGAATATTGCCAAGATCGGCGCAAAGCCATAGCCACTCACTCACTCAGTAAGGGAAATGCTTTTACAAGTGTAATTCCGACACATCAAAGTTTGTGCGTTTACAACTTGAGAATTATCATAATGATTCACTTTTTAGGTGATGGCAAAATCCCAAAGAGCGATTTCCTGGCACTTCTCCAAGGAAACAAAGGAAGCCTAGTGGTACAAGCGTTCGCTTGCCACGCAGAAGACCCGTGTTCGATTCCCCACATGGGTACACAGTGTAAAACCCATTTCTGGTGTCCCCGCCGTAACATTGCTGGAATATTGCCAAGATCGGCGCAAAGCCATAGCCACTCACTCACTCAGTAAGGGAAATGCTTTTACAAGTGTAATTCCGACACATCAAAGTTTGTGCGTTTACAACTTGAGAATTATCATAATGATTCACTTTTTAGGTGATGGCAAAATCCCAAAGAGCGATTTCCTGGCACTTCTCCAAGGAAACAAAGGACTTTTTCTGAGTCCGGCATGCATTAAACAAATACATTTACTGTAAAACTGATATACACGTGAAGTAAGCATACATGTCACTGGAACCAAACTTCAAAGACTAAGGTGCATGATATTCCTATGAATACGGATAAATTGTCAGTAGGTATAATGATATAATAATAACAAATAATAATGTATATGCTTATACTGCGTTAAGACCATAAGCCAGGGCCCCGTTTCACAAAGCGATAGTAGGGCTAAGGTTATCGTAACTCCCATACCTTAACATAGACTTACGACTGACCCCCGGGCCCTGGATCAGTGTGCGCTACAACCCAAGATGCCTGTGAGGTTCTAGAATGTTAACAGTCACGTGACCATCTCATTCCACCGTAGGGGCGGTGGGGTAGCCTAATGGTTAAAGCGTTCGCTCGTCACGCCGAAGACCCGGATTCCATTCCCCACATAGGTACAATTTGTGAAGCCCATTTCTGGTGTACCCTGGCGTGATATTTCTGGAATATTGCTAAAAGCGGCGTAAAACCATACTCACTCACTCACTCACCCCACCACGAAGGTGAAGGTAGAGTTTCAGTAGGTGCGAGTGTGAATTAGTTCAATTGTGCAAATGAGTTCAACTGAGCTCGAGTGAGTGAGTGAGTGATATTTATGTAGGCGTACATCCCACGATTGCATTGTAAGAAATTCTTGTTATTATCAAAATGGCTTCAGATGACAATAAGCTCAACACACAGATTAAACCCTAACAACGTACTAGCAATGTATCACTAACGGACTTCCAGTCTAAGTATGCCAAGGTAAGGTTAATTACCTTTATTAAGAGTTACTCACATTGATGTGCTACCTTGATCGCCTCACTCCGTTAATGTACAAAATGTATATTTGAAAAACATCTCTACGATGTCGCAAAGTGCGGAGTTGCGTCCCTTGGGTATGCCAGAAACCTTTGACCGTAGGTTCAAATTCCTGTTTTCGGAGGCTGGCGTTACTTCTGCCTTTTCTCCCACATTACAACCCTTGCTGAAGACCAATTCTTCACTTGATTTAACTTAAAAAGGTCACATGCAACGTAAAACACAACTTTGCAGATTCTGATACCTTTCGGTATGGACGTACCGAAACAAATCGTCAAAAATGCATATTCAAGTTATAAAGTTGAAAAATAACGCGATGAAAAAAACCGCGCGAAATCGGAGTTCAAACGATTCACTAATTTCCCCCCGGAAATTTCGGGGGAAAACGGGTTTCAACAGCTGGGCTGCGCTCATAGCATGTGCGCAGTGAAATGGGTTCGCGCAACTTGGAAGCGGGCTGCCTGGTGAATACTCGGTGAAGGCTTTGGTGTGAGCTATTTTCATAATGTTTTGTTGATATCTCACAGGCGCGAGCTTTTTATACGTTATGACAGTAAATAAACTGTTCATATAATTTCATTTCTCTATTTCACCACACGTTCTTCTTACCGAGTCACTTTCTCAGTTCGGTACTTAAAAGCAATGTCATTATTGAGCGTTGACACAATTTCTAACTGTGATATAGATATGTTGTTGTCACAGACAGATGTCTTGTTTTATTGACACCTGTGTGTCTGCCTGCCTGTCTGCTAATGACAATATTCAATACACAACTGCGATCACTGACCACATGCAATTTGAACTTAACACCAATCAGGCTATACACCATAAACAAAACGCATTGATTTATGGCCCGAGTTCGGTCTCTGTCACATTACGTAATTACACAGACAGGCAGGTGTGATACTTGAACACATGACATGTTATGATGTCTGTTGATTGCAAAATGTTATACACAAAAAATGAGCATGTATTTACAAAACCCAACATCTCTATATATACACACACAATGAGCCGTGAAGGCGGCATCTGCAAATGAACCAGCCGTTACACTTGAGTGCACACCCACACGCTCTGACTGGGTTCGGTATCCCGGCTGCTTCGTTTCGAGGAAGGTAAACCCAAGTACAAAATATTGCACTTTTGATTTGCGATTATACGCTTATAATTTTGTTTATTTGTTTTTTCATAATCAGCAATGCATATTATATGTCATGAAGAAGTGATAATTGTGTTTTAATTATGTTTGATTTTTTGGTTGCATGGGACCTTTAAGGTGTTTTTTGGCATAAAGCATCAAAACTGTGAACAGTCCGTATTCCCGTCTTGCGAAAAAAGCTGAGGTGTGTAAACCACGGTTGTCTTTCCTTTTTTTCAGACGGTGACCTTGACCTCCGTTCGAAGCTGCCTATGACGCTATGCAACCAGACTATGCAACCAGTTTATTTATTTTCGCTTCTTCATCATAGGTTGGACAGGTATTGGTTGGGGGATCGTGAAGAGATGGCATATACTTAAATAGAAAGGCACAATGTGCATGTCATCGTTTTTCAGTGCCCAAGGCGACATAATATAGGTCAGAACCTTCTAGACGGTATCTGTATTTGAGGCTTGTTACTATATCGCAATGACCATGCAAGTTTTAGTGGGTGAGTCTAGGTGTACGCCGCTTTCAGCAATATTCCAGCAATATCACGGCGGTTGATACCAGAAATGAGCTTCACACATTGTACCCATGTGGTAAATCGAATCCTGGTCGTCAATTGACGAGGGAACGTTTTTACCACAAGGCTCCCCCACCGCCCCTACAAATTTTGGTGTGTCTTAGTCGCAGTCTCCACTATAAATGTACAATGTCATGATCAATCAGCTTGTTGCTATACTAAGACAGTAAACTTGGTGCTTTGAAAGACGATAAAGTTCTGTCTGCAAGCTATCTGAAAGGCCATACCCTGCAGCTGTTAGATACCAAAGGGTCAACTGGTCCTAACTCATTATCATAATCTAGGACAGCGTGTTTTCTATGCCGTCAGTCTGCACTCACAAATACGGAGTGAGTGAGTGAGTTTTACGCCGCTTTTAGCAATATCACGGCGGGGTCACCAGAAATGGGCTTTAAACATTGTACCAATGTGGGGGATCGAAGCAGTGGACGGTGACAGATAGTAAACCACCGCACCCGATGACCCGAAATACTTTCGTCTACACTTACAGTCCGTTTGACTCAAAAGCGGACCGATGAATTGCAATCTAGCTCGAAAACTGATAAACATAACATACTCAATGAAACGCTGATCATAATCAAAACATCATACCCACTCTGTGAGGTTTTTGCAGAATTTATGTCCTAAAAATAATAAAGTTGTTTAACAAACTATCATTAAAATATTGACACAGTTCACTGTTTGTTACGAGGGAGGAGTGCAGAGAAAGGGACAGCCAGGTGTTCGAGCAGCACGTTCACAGACAAAGTTATTTATTCATTAACCTGTGCTGTCCCGTCTCCATCCGTTCTCGAACACCTGGCTGTCCCTTTCTCTGCACTCCTCCCTAGTAACAAATAGTGAACTGTGTCAATATTTAAATGAAACAACTTATTTATTTTTAGGGCAAAATTCTGCAAATACGTACTTCTCTGGTGACAAATACGTTTAGTAGTGAGTCACGGGGTTAAACAACATAGGTTGGCACTCTTATACAACGCCAACGGAGTGAGTGAGTGTGGTTTTACGCAACTTTTAGCAATTTTCAAGCAATATCGCGGCGGGGGACACCAGAAATGGGCTTCACACGTTGTACCCATGTGGGGAATCAAATCCGGGCCTCAGCAGATTTTGAAACCACTCTATCCTTATTCTAGTTTCTGTGGGTTCGAATCTCAGATTTTGCTCATTGATATTTGTGGTCTGTCATCCCCATACTCGCACAACAATCATGATAAAGTAATAAATGTCTACAAGCTGCGTCCTTTCTTTCCTTCAGCACAAAGGTTCGCCCTGTGATCGGTCGTGGGTTCGAATCCCAGATTTGTCCTGGTTTTTAATCTTGGTCTCCATTACTTGGACTTCCCTCCCACGTTGACATGACACGGTGTGGTATAGTGAGTGCGTGAGTTTAGTTTTACGCCGCTTTTAGCAATATTCCAGCAATATCACGGCCCGGAAACACCAGAAATGGGCTTCACACATTGTACCCATGCGAGGAATCGAACCCGGGTCTTCGGCATGAAGAGTGAACGCTTTAACCACTAGGCTACCGCACCGCCCCCTTGTGTGGTGAACTACTATTAATAGTTGGCTGACCCAACTCACTCACTCACTCTATCACTCACTTCGAACCACTATACTGAGGTTTGTAATGTGGGAGAAAGGCAGAAGTAACGCCAGCCTCCGAGAACAGGAATTTGAACCTACGGTCATAGGTTTCTGGCATACCCAAGGGACGCAACTCCGCAATTGCGGCGCCGTAGTCAACTGGGTCGTCCGTGCCACAAGCATAAAGACAAGATTACAGTAACTTTCGTATTTGAGTATACATGCGTATGTATAAACATGTAGTCATTGAATTATCATTAAACATTACATACTGTAAAGACGCACATTCTTTGTAAGTGTTTTATTCCGGAGACAATTCAGTAGGGTTCGCCTATTTTCCAACTCCAATAGGGATGCTGGGTGGTACCATCAGAACCTGGGCAGATACAAGTGTATTAACCACCAGTCAAGGCTGGATACAGTGTTGATCGTCCTTCCAAAAATCAATTCTTGAAAATGGTAAAACGGTCAGGAATACTGTCATCACAAATCGTCAAATAAATTATGACAAGACTACTTAAGTACGAATTTGGATATATATCGAAAGTTTTTGAAATGTGAAGTTCAGTTTTGCTAAATTTAGCTTTAAGGTTTTCCTTCTTGCTAACTTACAGGTAAATGTATGAGTTGAATTGTGCACCCTTTATTTATTTCTTCCAATAGAATGTTTTTGTACTTTTTGAATTTCGCAAAAATTTGCAGTCAATTTGTCAAATACATCAATTGATTTTCCATCACTTTGCGACATCGTAGAGATATTTTTCAAATATACATTTTGTACATTAACGGAGTGAGGCGACCACTGTAGCACATCAATGTGAGTAACTCTTAATAAAGGTAATTGACCTTACCTTGGCATACTTAGACTGGAAGTCCGTTAGTGATACTTTGCCATCGCCTGGAATATATTCACAGTACGTTGTTAGGGTTTAATCTGTGTGTTGGGCTTATTGTCATCTGAAGCCATTTTGATAATAACGAGAATTTCTTACAATACAATCGTGGGTTGTACCCCTACATAAATATCACTCACTCACTCACTCACTCGAGCTCAATTGAACTTATTCGCACAATTGAACTAATTCACACTCGCACCTACTGAAACTCTTCCTTCACACTCACTCACACACACTCACTCAAGTTGGGATGAGTGAGTGAGTATGGTTTTACGCCGCTTTTAGCAATATTCCATCAATATCACGGCGGGGTACACCAGAAATGGGCTTCACACATTGTGCCCATATGGGGAATCGAACCCGGGTCTTCGGCGTGACGATTGAACGCTTGAACCACTAGGCTTCCCCACCGCTCCCCTACAAGAAGAAATACACCCAGGTTGTGTGTGTATTCGTCAGGAGACCTGTGTATTAGTTTTACGCCGCTTTAAGCAATATTCCAGGAATTCCCCACGGCGGGGGACACGGCAAATGGGCTTCACGCATTGTACCCATGTGGGGAATCGAACCCGGGTCTTCGGCGTGACGAGCGAACGCTTTAACCATTAGGCTACCCCACCGCCCCTACGGTGGAATGAGATGGTCACGTGACTGTTAATATTCTAGAACCTCACAGGCATCTTGGGTTGTAGCGCACACTGATCCAGGGCCCGGCGGCCAGTTGTTAGTCTATGTTAAGGTATGGGAGTTACGATCACCTTAGCCCTACGATCGCTTTGTGAAACGGGGCCATGGCTTATGATGTTAACGCAATATAACGCAATACATTATTATTTTTATTATTATATCATTATACCTACTGACAATTTATCCGTATTCATACGAATATCATGCACTTTAGTCTTTGAAGTTTGGTTCCAGTGACATGTATGTTTACTTCACTTGTATGATGTGTGTATACCAGTTTTTATGGAATCCTGGAAAATGAGGCAAAATTAACCAAAACGCGACATGCGACAAATGGGAGAAATGTCGCGTTGTCGCGTTTTGGTTTATTTTGCCTCATTTTACTTGTTTTTGAGAGGGCGACAATGCGACAACGCGACAATGTCCCTTCTCGGATTCCATAAGTTTTACAGTAAATGTATTTGTTTAATGCATGCCGGACTCAGAAATATCCAGGCTAAATGAAACTGACCGGTTCGGGCAATTCGTGACTGACATAACGAGCATCCATAGAATTCTTTTATGGAATAATTGGAATACTCACCATTAGTGTCGAACTCGTTGAAAATCAGCTTCACATCATCTAGGGTTAGAACGCCATCTTTGTTGGCATCGTATTTGGCGAACTCACTCTCTGCCTGTCCTTTGTTTCCTGGGAGAAGTGCCAGGAAATCGCTCTTTGGGATTTTGCCATCACCTTAAAAGTGAATCATTATGATAATTCTCAAGTTGTAAACACAAACTTTGATGTGTCGGAATTACACTTGTAAAAGCATTTCCCTTACTGAGTGAGTGAGTGGCTATGACTTTGCGTCGCTTTTGGCAATATTCCAGCAATATCACGGCGAGGGACGCCAGAAATGGGTTTTACACAGTGTACCCATGTGGGGAATCGAACACGGGTCTTCTGCGTGGCAAGCGAACGCTTGTACCACTAGGCTACCCCACCGCCCCGCATTGCCCTTATTTCATTGTCATCAGGCTACGGTTTTGTTTAGACACAACGGATAACTCGAAGTATGTGCGTCGGTCCCTTCAACTTCGAGACAAGGGTATATAACTGTAGAAGTATTTCACCAAAGTAGCCTCAAGGCATCTGTTTCTCTTGGAACAGGAAATGGAATTTCAACCAAGGATCAAAACGTACACACATTATGCAAAGCAATTTGATAGACAACAAAGCCATGTAGTTGAAGGTTGTGCATGTTAGGTCGCAGTTGAGACAAGGACGCCATTTAGTTGCAAGTTGTATCAGATCGTAGTTGATAGACAACAAAGCCATTTTGTTGAAAGTTGTGTGAGATCGTAGTCGATAGACAGCAAGGCAATTTAGTTGAAAGTTGTGTTCGATTGCCGTTGATAGACAACAAAGCCAGTTTGTTGCAGGTTGTGTTAGGCCGCATTTGATAGAAACAAAGCCATTTGGTTGAAGATTGTGTTATGTCGCAGTCGATAGACAACAAAGCCATCTAGTTGAAGGTTGTGTTAGAACGGAGTTGATAGACATCACACAGAATAATGTACAATCCATTTCGCATTTCTGTATCAACATCCTGGCCTCATCTCAGAATTCAACACTCTATTCGTTTCAATCTTACTTTCTCCCCGTCAGTTTTATATTTATTTATGTTTTCACTGTCTCGTTATCTGTTTATATATCCCTGTCTCCCTTGACCTCTATGGCGCTCAATACACATGCGCCTTTCTCCTTTATCTGTATTTTCTCTTCCCTACTTATATAATATACCTGCTATAAATTCTATCCATTATTTCTCGCCTCGGATAACTCGAAGTATTTACTTAGCTGCCTTCAATTTTCGACACGATGCGGTTGGGTAGCCTAGTGGTTACAGCGTTCGCTAGTCACGCCGAAGACCCGGGTTCGATTCCCCATATGGGTACAATGTGTGAAGCCCATTCTGGTGTCCCTCGCCGTGATGTTGATGGAATATTGCTAAAAGCGGCGTGAAACTAAACTCACTCACTCCTCCCTATGTTTCAGCAAATACGTGAACTATTATGTGAAACAATTCATATAAATGTTCCTACCGTCAACATCACCAGTGTTAAAGTAGACTTTCAGTTCTGCCAGTACCAGTGTGCCGTCTTTGTTAGCGTCAAGAGAATCGAAGGCGCCTTTAGCAATGGCAGCTACACTTTGGCTGGAGGCAACACTGCAAGAAACGTAGACTGATGGCTAACTATGGGTAACAGCCTCCACACTGAATGTAATGAGTGAGTTTAGTTTTACGCCGCACTCAGCAATATGCCAGCTATATGGCGGCGGTCTGTAAATAATCGAGTCTGGACCAGACAATCCAGAGATCAACAGCATGATCTACGCGATTCGGGATACGATGACATGTGTCAACCAAGTCAGCGAGCCTGACCACCCGATCCCGTTAGTCGCCCCTTACGACAAGCATGGGTCACTGAAGATCAATTCTAGCTCTGATCTTCACGGGTTAAACTGAATGGAAGGATAACAATATATGTATGATGTTTATTTCGGATGAACAACTTGTTTATAGACAAGTTGTCCATATCTATTGTTATCCTTCCTCGAGTCTCCAACTTCTAAATGCCTCGCAAAGAGATTATTCCACACTAAATGTTTATGCATTACGATATGCCATGGATGAGAAACGTCAACTGTAAATTTTATGTGTACAGTTGTGAATGTTTATGCATTACGTCATACAGTCAGCGTGAAATGGATAGCAAACCTCAGTTGTAAATGTTTTCATTACGTCATACAGTCAGCGTGAAATGGATAGCAAACCTCAGTTGTAAATGTTTTCATTACGTCATACAGTCAGCGTGAAATGGATAGCAAACCTCAGTTGTAAATGTTTTCATTACGTCATACAGTCAGCGTGAAATTACGATACAGTCAGCGCGGAAATCGCTCAGTTGTAAATGTTTTCATTACGTCCATACAGTCAGCGTGAAATGGATAGCAAACCTCAGTTGTAAATGTTTTCATTACGTCATACAGTCAGCGTGAAATGGATAGCAAACCTCAGTTGTAAATGTTTTCATTACGTCCATACAGTCAGCGTGAAATGATCGATAGCAAACCTCAGTTGTAAATGTTTTCATTACGTCATACAGTCAGCGTGAAATGGATAGCAAACCTCAGTTGTAAATGTTTTCATTACGTCATACAGTCAGCGTGAAATGGATAGCAAACCTCAGTTGTAAATGTTTTCATTACGTCATACAGTCAGCGTGAAATGGATAGCAAACCTCAGTTGTAAATGTTTTCATTACGTCATACAGTCAGCGTGAAATGGATAGCAAACCTCAGTTGTAAATGTTTTCATTACGTCATACAGTCAGCGTGAAATGGATAGCAAACCTCAGTTGTAAATGTTTTCATTACGTCATACAGTCAGCGTGAAATGGATAGCAAACCTCAGTTGTAAATGTTTTCATTACGTACATACAGTCAGCGTGAAATGGATAGCAAACCTCAGTTGTAAATGTTTTCATTACGTCATACAGTCAGCGTGAAATGGATAGCAAACCTCAGTTGTAAATGTTTTCATTACGCCATGTTTTCATTACGTCATACAGTCAGCGTGAAATGGATAGCAAACCTCAGTTGTAAATGTTTTCATTACGTCATACAGTCAGCGTGAAATGGATAGCAAACCTCAGTTGTAAATGTTTTCATTACGTCATACAGTCAGCGTGAAATGGATAGCAAACCTCAGTTACAGTCAGTAAATGTTTTCATTACGTCATACAGTCAGCGTGAAATGGATAGCAAACCTCAGTTGTAAATGTTTTCATTACGTCATACAGTCAGCGTGAAATGGATAGCAAACCTCAGTTGTAAATGTTTTCATTACGTCATACAGTCAGCGTGAAATGGATAGCAAACCTCAGTTGTAAATGTTTTCATTACGTCATACAGTCAGCGTGAAATGGATAGCAAACCTCAGTTGTAAATGTTTTCATTACGTCATACAGTCAGCGTGAAATGGATAGCAAACCTCAGTTGTAAATGTTTTCATTACGTCATACAGTCAGCGTGAAATGGATAGCAAACCTCAGTTGTAAATGTTTTCATTACGTCATACAGTCAGCGTGAAATGGATAGCAAACCTCAGTTGTAAATGTTTTCATTACGTCATACAGTCAGCGTGAAATGGATAGCAAACCTCAGTTGTAAATGTTTTCATTACGTCATACAGTCAGCGTGAAATGGATAGCAAACCTCAGTTGTAAATGTTTTCATTACGTCATACAGTCAGCGTGAAATGGATAGCAAACCTCAGTTGTAAATGTTTTCATTACGTCATACAGTTGATGTAAAAGGGATAACAAGCCTCAACTGTCAATGCTTATGCATGACGTCATACAGCAATGTAAAATGGATACCAAACCTCAATCACACACTCACTTACCCGAGCACCAGCGCCAAAGCACACAAGAAGAGGGATGTCATTGTTGTTTAACTGGGGGAAAACATATACCCACGTTATATTTACAGTATCTCAGTTCAACCGAAATAGGACAAAACATAAACCCCTTCTTTGTTGTCATGTATCCTGAATACCCATTTATTTTAGTAAAGATGACACATATGTCATATTAACATGACATATATCTACACATGATATTGATTTTATTTCGACACAGGAATATGACTCCACCAATAGGACACGTGTGTACATTGGGGGATTCCTCAATGTACTTCCACATTTGGAAATAAACACATGTATATTTTGTTGCATAACGCCGCACTCAGCAATATTCCAGCCATATGGCGGCGGTCTGTAAACAATCGAGTTTAGACCAGACAATCCAGTGATCAACAGCTTGAGCATCGATATACGCAATTGCGATACGATGACATGTGTCAACCAGGTCAGCGAGCCTGACCATCTGATCCCGTTAATCGCCGTTTACGACGTGCATGGGTTGCTGAAGACCAGTTCTAGACAAGGCTTGAAATGCAAACATAATTGTCAATGGTTATGAAATTACGTCATCATCATCATCATCATCATCGTCGTCGTCGTCGTCGTCGTTAATCACTGACTTGAACAAATTAATTTCTTTCTGGTAACAGTATCAAGTAAACCATTTTGACTAAAACTCGTGGCAAGCGGGTTAACGAGGTCACAGGTTTGTCCATACACTTTCTGAGCGTGGCCTAAGAAAGGTAATAAACTGACATATTAGTTTTTGAATGGAAGGCAGATAAACGAACTGTGTTTGAATTAATTAGATTTAAACTATTAAAACCAATGAAACATTTGAATACATGAAGCGAAACGATCTCACCTCTGTGGCGAAGGAAAGGAAGGGTCACTTATTTGTCCTTGGAGTATATATACTGGTTTCATACAGAGATAAGGGGCGAATACGTGGTCATTTAGATCATATTGTTTCGAAAGTGTCAACTTGTATGAAAACGTTGTGGAGAAAAAATATGCACGTTCTGAATAATCGTGAGCAGGGACCTTGCCTTGATTTGCTTTTTAATACTTTTACTTAACTTTACTTTTTGGTGGTATTGCTGATTTGTTTCATTTTCTTTATCTTTATTTTGGGGGTCGTTTTTTATTTTTTGTTTTTAATTTTTTGTTTGTTCGCCGTTGTTTTTGTTTGTCGTGTGTGTGGTGGGGGTATGGTTTGTTTTTCGGGGTGGGGTGGGGAGGGACTGTGACACTTTGCTGCCACCGATCCAGAATTACGTGTGTTATCTCACTTTACAGTTAGCATGGATACTTCGCGAAGATACACGTATGCATTTCTTTTTGGGGAGAGTATATATGTTAAGTGGAACAGAAGGGTGAAATTTGTATCGAACCAAAATTGACGTACACCGAACTATTGTAATAACGAACTCAAAGGGACCACTAATATTTCTTAGAACAATAGCTCGTTATGGACATTTTGGCTAAAATATGCAGCAAGTGGCCGGACCAAAGAACGGTTCGTATACCAGTCAGTTCGACATAAGAGTGTTCGTTGTAAACGTTGTTTACTGTATTTGGGGTGAGTGAGTGAGTGAGTTTATTCAATTACTAAACTGTCGATAGTCACACATACTATCGATGCATCGATAGTGTTTCGTTTCTATCATCGATTGATTGCTTTCTGAGACTCAACAATTGCAATCCAATTGTTCGATGCATCGTTAGAGCCCTAATTCTAATCAACTTTCCACCCTACACGTATACAAGAATACATGTGTAATATGTTGTAAAATAGTTAGTCTCCTGCTGATCTGACTCTCCTTCATTCATGTTGACCTGAAATAAGAATTTAAGAGTCTGTTACGGCCAGAGAAATATCCCTTAGTCTTATTTGACAGCTATTTTAGAAATATTATTTTAAGATTGAGAGTGGATCTTCATTAAAGTTGGAAAACAATGAAATGAACAGTGTGACTACTGACAGATCATGAGTGAGTGAGTATGGTTTTACACCGCTCTTAGTAATATTCCAGCAACATCACGGCGGGGGACACCAGAAATGGGCTTCACACATTGTACCCATGTGGGGATTCGAACTCGTGTCTTCGGCGTGACGAGCTGACGCTTTAACCACCAGGCTACCCCACCGCCCTAATAGATCATGAAGATTAGGTCCAGGTTTAAATTACAGTACAGAGGACGAATTTTATTTTCTATTACTTGTGAATGTGATGATCTTAGAAAAATATTGTGTCAGCCTGAATGTTTCTGGTAATATTATAGCCTTAATGCCTTCAAGATAGTTTTGGGCACTAACAATGCACATTTAATCAAATATTCTTCACATTACTCATTTTGTAGTGTTATAGGTTGTACTGAGCTGATATAGTCGATATGTGTTTGCATTACTGTATTATGTAGTACCTGTTGTAGATGACCAGATGGTGGCCACATGAATACGTGCAAACACCTAGTTGCGGGTACAGCAACGTGCAGTAAACTTGGACATAGTATTGTGACTACATGTCCCAGTCCATCCAGCTAGGACGAGAAAGCCACAATAACTGGCTGTGGCTGCAAGAGTTGTATACTCCCAAGGGAGTTGAGATTGATAATACGATGTGCCGTTGAGATTGACATCCAATGATCGAGGGGAAATATTACCAGCGCCTTGAGCATGCACGAGTTGCCTGGATATGTGCGCTATATAAATATCCTATAATAATGGCTGGTTTTGCATATTGGCCAAAGGACTTTTATGCAAAGAGAAATATTCTTCGTTTATACATAAGTGAGCATCGGCAGTTTGTAAATGATACCAAGGTTGTACCAGTCGTACAGTAGGGAAGCTGACATTGCTTGTACTATTTGCGAACAAATGGGGTCATCACTGGCATTTACTCTTCCATTCATGATATATTCCACCGATATTTTGGTATATGCTTCAGCGGATTATTCTGTGGCCTTGGCGACCCGTGAAGATCCGGGGTAGAATAGGTCTTCAGCAACCCATGCTTGCCACAAACGGCGACTATGCTTGTCGTAAGAGGCGACTAACGGGATCGGGTGGTCAGGCTCGCTGACTTGGTTGACACATGTCATCGGTTCCCAATTGCGCAGATCGATGCTTATGCTGTTGATCACTGGATTGTCTGGTCCAGACTTAATTATTTACAGACCGCCGCCATATAGCTTGAATATTGCTGAGTGCGGCGCAAAACTTTACTTACTCACTCACTTAGTGTGGCCTTGGCAATAATACACGCCCTCACAACACAAATACACACACGCGCACGCACGCGCACACACACATGTATGTATGTGCATTGGCATATCAGAAAACTAGTGTTTTAAAGAGGGCATAAGTGCTACAGGTTTTCTTCAGATGATGCCGTTTGTGACCTGCGAGTGCATTCGTGAAATTTACTCATGGAAACGAATAAAGGAACACACGAAAGCGCAAGTGTTCCTGTACTCTTTTCCGTGTTTCTTGTCATGCTTTTTATTGCACTGTGGGTAAAAATCTGGAAATAAATATAGGAACATTTGTAGTTTCATATGGTCCCTTATTTGTTTCCATGAGTATATAATGAATGTTTAAACATCACACACGCGTGCGGCACGAGAAACGTGATGTCATTCGTGACCTGCGAGGGCATACGTGAAACGTAATGAATATTTAAAAATCACTCCATATTTGTCCTGCGTGTGTTTATGACTAACTGCAGCGTTATCTCCAGGTCACAAGGTTCGTCAGGAAGGTCACTGAGTAAATGTGGACAGACGGGCAGCATAATTATGTTCACACGTCTAGAACAGGGAAGGTTAAAAGTATGTGCAACGTTGCACTGTCTGGGGACATAGTTCATGTGTTCAATATTCTCCAAATCCCAGGACGGTGGGGTAGCCTAGTGGTGAAAGCGTTCGCTCGTCACGCCGCAGGCCTGAGTTCGATTCCCCACATGGGTACAATGTGTGAAACCCGTTTCTGGTGTCACCAGTCGTGATATTGCTAGAATATTGCTAAAAGCGGCGTAAAATCATACTCACTCACTCTTCGAATCCCATAAACATAGAATTTCACTGATCACTGTTTATGTGAAGGGATCTTTGGACACAGTGGGCCAAAATGTCCAGGTTCCTTCGCCGTTAAATGATTTGTGGTTTGTCTACACAAATGAAGTTGGATAAGGTGTAAAAAGATGACATGCTTTTTGTAGGACTTGTTGTAGATGCACTGACGGTTATATATAACACCTCACTCACTCACTCACTCACTCACCCACCTACTCACACACTCACTCACTCACTGACCCGCTCACTCACTCACTCACCCACCCACCCACACACTCACACACTCACTCACTCACTCACTCACTCACTCACTCACCCACTCACTCACCCACTCACCCACCCACTCACTCACTCCACCTCACTCGACCGCCTCCGTGGTGTAGTGGTTAGAGCGTCCGCCCGGAGAGCGGAAGGTTGCGGGTTCGATCCCCGACCGCGTCATACCAAAAGACGTTAAAATATGGTACTTGTTGGTCCCTGCCTGGCGCTCGGCATTAATAGGTACAACAAGGACTGGTCGGCTCGGAGTCAGTATAATGTGTCTGAGTGGGGTATTCATGCTTCACTGCGGCATGGTATCTCAGTGGGCTAGCACTATAAAACCAGCTTAAGTCTGGGCTAGTACAAGCAGCCGCACATACACAACACACGCATGCACGTCGTCATATGAGCGAAATATTCTCAAGCACGACGTTACACCCACTTTCACCTCACCTCACTCACCCACTCGTCATCATACTCAAGGACGTGGAGTATGCAGCCATCTTCTGTAAGCTAAGGGTAGATCACAAATCATCTCATTGAAATTGGGGTCAGTGGGGTAGTCCAGTGGTTAAAGCGTTCGCTTGTTACGCCCAAAACCCGGCTACGATTCCCCACATGGGGACAATGTGTGAAATCCATTTCTGGTGTCCCCGGGGGTGATGTTGCTGGAATATTGCAAAAAGCGGCGTAAAACTAAACCCACTCACTCACTCGATGAAATTCCTGCTTGACACCCATTGCATACATTTCGTAAAGGTGATTTCAACAATACACCTCGG